CGAAGAGATGAATTCTTTAGTCTAACTGAACTGAGTAAGGGTAACCAGGGCTACTACACTGCTATGGTGATTTGTTGTCTAAACAGAAAATGTTGCTGCAATATGTCAAAATGGGCCTGCATATGTGCTAATTTTGTTGTGATTCTTTAGAGCATGGCAAAATTCTCTTAATCCTCAACTCCTATAAAACAGTCTTCCTAAGAATATTAAACTGGGGGGAATAGATACTATTTTCTTAGTCTGCATTTTACCATAGTTCTGTTTGTATGACCTTCCCTCTGTAAATAAAATTATAGATTTCATTTCCACTGTCACTCAGCACTACTTCTTTTTTCCTTGAACTTCACCATCTACTATCAAAGAGCCACAGACTGTAGTTATTAAACGACTGACATTGTTACCAAACTGGAATTGTTATTCAGCAATGCAATCTTGTTCTTGAGCTCCCAGCTTCTTCCTCAACTCTCAGAATGGCACTTAGACCATTCACATTTTAATTCTTTCTCTTTGTTTATGAAAAGAGAATGGTCAGGTGGCAAAAAAAAAAAAAAAAATTGCAGCTGGCTTGCCTTTTTTAATGGCCACTTTTCTCATATAAGTTTGTTCAGCAGATCACAATAAAGTCTTTTTATGGAGACTCAAAGTAACATCACACACAAGTCTCTTTCTCTTTGTAGGACAGTAAGGTTTACCATGAGCTAGGTCCAAAGAAGACTAAACACAATTTCAGGAGCTATTAAGCCAGCAACCACAGCTGGGACTACCGACTAAAGGATTTTAGTCAGGAGCCATACAGGAGGATTTTCAAGAATGCCAGAGAGTAAATTTATAATTTTTAAGGGTAGAATTTTGAAAATCACTACTAAATCTACCACAGGTACTATAAATCTCTAAAGGTTTTATTTTTAATTCACCATTCCCCACTGCTCCAGCTTCTCTTTGATAACTATAGCTCAACTGAATTCAAATTCCATCAACCCCATCTCAGAAAGCTCACAAGTGTGTGCTGGAATATTGCATAATTGGATTAGCAAGAAGATAAACAACTTTCCATCTGCAGATTCAGTGAAATAATTCTTAATTCTCTCTCTTTAGTGACTGCTATGTATTGTCCACAGAAACATACCAACATTCAAATTTCAAAGACGTAGAAAATGATCTCCCAAGTGACTCAAAGCCCAGGAGTTTGCCCAGCAAAACTGGCACATAGTGCCCAAGCTTGTCATTGCTGTATTTCAGCCCCCCTAAAAATAGGTAGTATAGTTCTAATTTGAGTTATCTGTATGGAGCTACCCAGTTCCCATTACTGTACACAGAGGGACACACACATTGTCATCCATCTTCTGAACATAGAATCATAGAATTGTCTAGGTTGGAAGAGACCCTTGGGATCATCGAGTCCAACCATCTCCCCTACTCTACAAAGTCCTCCCCTACACCATATCCCTCAGTACCCCATCTAAACGTCCCTTAAACACAGCCAGGGATGGTGACTCAACACCCTCCCTGGGCAGCCTATTCCAATGCCCGACCACTCTCTCTGTGAAAAATTCCTTCCTAAGGTTCAGTCTAAACCTACCCTGTTGGAGCTTGAAGCCGTTCCCTCTCGTTCTGTCATTAATTACCTGTGAGAAGAGACCAGCACCAACCTCTCTACAGTGTCCTTTCAAGTAGTTGTAGAGAGTGATGAGGTCTCCCCTCAGCCTCCTCTTCCTCATACTAAACAGTCCCAGCTCCTTCAGCCGCTCTTCATATGATTTGTTCTCCAGGCCCTTCACTAGTTTCATTGCCCTCCTCTGCACTCGCTCCAGCATCCTCTGTTTCCTTTCAGGAATGCTGCTTAAATATTGCTGCAGCTTGTGACGTCTAATGAGCACAACTAACACCAAGTTCTTTGCAAGAGTGGCTGGACTGGAGCCTTGTCCAGTACTTAATATCCAGGGGCTTATATAAAAAATGTATTGTACTTCATCGTCATTTTGGTCTCAGACATGAGGCGTGTCACACTAGGAAAACTGACATACAGAGAAAACACAGAGCAACAGGATGGCAGTTCTGCAACATGTAATTCTTGGGTTTGCCTTGGATTTTTATTTTTTTTTTGTAAACAGATTAAAACCAGGCCAAATATAGATACAATAAAATTATAATCAGTTGATTTTATAAATTATTCCCAACCCTGGAAAACTTTCAAAGCATTTTTTATGTACAACAAAATTCTTGGAATCTTATGCAGAGATAGGAGAAGTTGCAAACTTTCTTGTGCCATTTATATATCATGGCCCTTTTGACAAATTGCAGTAATACAATTGTCAAGTTTTCAGAGCCTGCAAAAACTCATATTCTGTGCATAATCATTTAAATCAGGACTTGGGAGATCTGCAACACCAAAAATATTAACAGCATGTCTCTTACTGTCCTCTAAATTTTCTTCAACAAAATCCCCCTATCTAGCTCCTCCCATTATCAAGACATGATTTGTTCCTGCTTCAGCTATAAAACCTGTGAATGTTAAGTGTTGGAAAGAGCTATGGTCTTTAAAAATCAACATGTATTTGTGTTAAACTATTACACGACCCTAACTGCTAAAGTCTATGTAATCCACTTGCTTCATTTTGAAGTGTATCAGTCCACTTTTTCTATAACTTATAGAATGTCAAACTATATTAATAATGCTTGCAGCCTGGAAGCACTATGTTATGACCACCAGCTGGAGACGAGAGACACTCCTAACACAGAGCTGGCCAATATGTGAGTGCTCAGATCCCCTTCAGCTATACCACAACAGCAAAAATCTAGAATCTTCAAGAATACTCCTGCCTGTACCAAATATGAAAAAATACCTAGAAAGTTTTGAGGTGTGTCCCATGCAAATTTTGGTGCATGAGTTCCTACCTATACAGTCTTAAAGATAGTTAAGATACCTCAACCAAGCCTTAAATTGCAGCAATAAATCTGCTTTATTACCATTCATATAATTATTACTGTAAATTAGGGTTTTCTTAAATATTAGCATTATATTGCACATCACTAGCTGACAGAAATCATAATCAAGGTTTTCTTTTTCACTTTAAATTTTAGGTGACAGAAGGTTTGAATGATCATATACTACGTCGTCTGATTGTTTTCCATAAACTGTTACTGATATTAAAATGTAGTGGGTTTTTTTTCTTTCTCAGCCCAATCAGATTCTTGGGGATCCCTGACATATTTCTAGTGGCTTGAATAACACATGCATTACCCAAATAGAGGAATTTCAGTGGTTATGCACCAGGAATCTCTGACTTTCCTTTACTTGTTATCACCTTTGTGGATAGCATACAACATTCCACATAGGCATTTGCACTTGCACATCCACCCAGACACAGAGCATCTGCCGTGTTGGGTAACACGAGCCTGCACATCTTCAGTGTCCGTGTCCCGGAAAATGACCCCGAAAAAGTAAGCAAAGTGCACCCCTGTTTCTATATATAAAACTGTTTGTTTAATTGGTAGACTGCACCAAGAATAAATAATGAGGTAATTCTGAAGATCATTCCCAGAACAGTCAGCTAGGATTGTTTCTGCAAGTCAGAGCTATCTCCTCTCCTTTGTTTTGTTTTGTTTGTGGGGGTTTTTTAATGGTTTCATTGTCTGAAGGTGAACAGCTTTCTACCTAAATGCAATTTTAGGAACAGTACAATGCTTCAAGAACGAAGCGTTCTGAACATAGGTGAGGTTTTGGAGTGTCTGTTTACTGAATGTAAAAATTGTTAAAAATTCAAATCCTAAAACTGGATCAAGGATTCTAACCAGATAAGGAGATAAGTTCCTTCCATAGATGAATTTATACCTTAAAAATCTTAACTTTCTTATCCCTCCATATGCTTTTTCACTTCCGAGATGCTGTTATTTATTACCAGTTTAAGGTAATTCATTTCAGTAAGTGTCTAGTGATATTTTGAGTAGCATACACTGAAATTTCTGTTGATTCCTGGGACCGATGCACTGATTCACCCTAAGCCTGTCTCAGCCACGTGCAGTTCTGCCACCTCCAGTATAGCTTTGGGACCCAGTATAACACCGATCCTACGGCACTAACTCACCAAGGAAACCTTTCCAGAAGCCAGTTCCATCTTACCCTCTGGGTTGCCTATAACCACCCTGTAAAGAGGAAAGCTGGGGATTAAGCAGTGGCATGGAGTCAAGAACCAAGAAGTTACTGTTTTGCCGCTAGACTTTTTCAGTTCAAGTCCCTGTTCAAAGAGTGAGTTTCAGATTCAGGCTGGCAGGCAGGATCCAGCTCAGACCTGGAAAATTTGGATTTCTAAGCAAACTGTAATTAGCTTCACCCTTATTGTTAGGGTTACACTGCTTAAACTGGCAGATTCCAAAATAGGATCAGGGCCAAATCAGTTATGATTTGTATTTATTTATCTAAAAGGCTCATGTGGACTTAATTTGCTGTTGTGTGTTAAGAAATAATGAATAAGTAGAAAGGATTATGAACACATGTTTGGCCTAGACAGGAAAAGAGAATGCTGCCATAACTTCGATTTTGAAATGTCTTATTTCATCATAAGCTTAGCTTTCAAAGCTGACATGGGGATTTTGGTACATTATGCCTCATTTTCAACTAATTGCATCTTAACCAAACATCCAAACCTTCAATTTGGAAGATCAAATTAGCAGCTGTATGATGGGGTTTTTTTTCAAATGTGCATAGATGCCAAGTGGAGGATCTAGGCATAAGTACTGTATAAAATAGATTTAAATAGAAATGATATCTATTTAATCAACTTTAGCCAAGGAAGAAGGGAACCTGTTGGGAAGAAATGGTTATGCAACCCAGGAAAGAGGAGAGAGGAGAGAATCTTTTCAGCAGAGGAGACCTGTGTCTTTTCCCCTCTTCTTACATTAACACTTTCACTTTACCTCTTTGTATTTGAGAATATGTAAAAACCTACACTTACTGCACTAGCTATTAATTATTTAATTATTTAGCAGTTCTTATAATGTACCTTTTTAGGAGTCAAAAGTTGTTCTTCAAATGCAGACAAATAATCCATACACCAGACTATTTTATCCTAACGGAAAAAAAAAAAAGGGCAAGAATATAAATTCAAATGCCAGTAAACAAGATTATTAGCAAATAAAATAAACACTACATTAGATATTCAATTATTTATAAATTTGCAGCTTAGGTTCTACTTCTATTTCATTTTATGAGAGTGCATTATAAGAGTAATCAACATAAGAAGAATTACTATTTCCCAGGCCTTTTTCATTGCTTTTAAAGGTTACAGTTTTGTAACTGTGCTTATTAACATCTGTGCTGCCCTTCAAGCTGTCTGTTAACATGGGGAGAGCACAAAATTACTGGTAACACTAAAGGATTTCTCATAGATAGCAAAATTTAATTAATTTATATTAAAATAGCATTCAATTATCTAATACTTTCCAAACATACTATACATAGCTGGGACTCACTTTACCCATTTTACCCATTTTATGTAACATTATTACTCCACAATGTACTCACATATCAGACCGGTTGCTCATCAACATTATCCCCATTTTTATCATTACAAAGCCACCTTAGTTCCCAATTAGTGCTATGCCAAAGAAGTTTAAAATTCTTAATCTGGGACTGCACTATCTCCAAGAGAAGAACATGTGCTTCTTTTCCTCACTGGAACCAGTATTTGATCATGAATAGCTCACAACATCAAACACTACTTGCCCGTATCTCCACACCACGTGTGGTTCAAAAAGTCCACAAGGTACAAACTGGTGGTGCCTGGGAATACATCATCTAGTCTTCCCTACACATCCACTTTTTAGTGCAGTGTCAGAGAAATAGTATCAGGCAAGTCAGATCTCTGGTCTTCTGCAGCACAGCTATTCATGTGTACATCAATTATAAAGTCATAATCAGCACCTTCGTAACTCCACTTTTCATCCTGAATCTCTTAAAATAGAATCATGTAGCAGATATGGTTACAGATTGCACTTCTTCCTAGATGCACTTTTTTGTTTCACTGTATACAATCCCCTGCATCTGCTACGTGTGATTATTATGATAGTTGGAAGAAAAGAAAAAAAAGAAAACTTGATGACACCTGTATACATTGCTTTAAATAATTATGGCATATAATGTAAAGTATATCTTTCTTACAAATCAGATAGCAAGATGATCATTTTTACAGAGCATTCTTTCAGAAATTTTAAATATTCATTATTTTTATTAGTGTTTATTTACATATTGGTAAATGCTCTTCTACTTTCTTTAATAAAATGATTATCCATTCTGTTTGTTTAAATGTATTTGTATGCCACTGAGGCATACAATGAGGGAGGTAGTAATTTCTAGACTTTAGAAACTCAAGTCCTAAAACACACTTGAGAATCCTTACTTGAACGTGCCTTGCTTTAGGGCCAAGAAGAAACAAAGAAAAATTTGTAAAAAATGTAACTTTTCTAAATAACTCCTACACCACTTTGTATCAAAACTCCATTTTAAAAGTTGACATTCACCCAGTGAAGAGCACAAACATCCCGTCAGAGACTTTTTACCGTCTGTCAGGCAAGATGTCATCTGGTGGCATATACCAGTTAAATATGAATGCAAATGACTGCTTCCTTGACTATTTATGCAAATTAATTTGTCAGTTGGCTATGAGGTGCTTATATTTAAGCCTACCAAATTGATTAATGACTTGGTCAACATAAGTTTTGGTTCACACGGAAAGCATCTGCAGATAAATAAATCAAACACTACTTGCCAATTTATAATATTGTATTTATGCTTCTGCCCTGCGCGTGCTGAATGATGGCAGTGGCAAGTGAACCAGATGGGAACCTTACAGCTCCCCAAATGCCACGATCTGAGAGTATGGAAATACTTTTAAAATAAAGAAGTTGCAGAGGAGGAGTTACAGCAAAGGCTGGTGGTGAATGGTGCTAGATGAGACAGAAGTGTGTTCTTAATAAAACAATCCTCTACAGGAACTGTGTAGTCTGTGGTGTTCTTCCTTCCTTCCTAGGACAACTTTGTGTCCTGTTCCATACAGAGCAGTACAGATTATGTACAGCACAGTGGGACAGAGAACAGAAGAAGCCTGAGCTAGAGTTCTGCAGCTGAATCACAGGTGCATCAGCACGAGCAGGGGTGATAATAAAACTAGGTTACACGACTGAGCCGCTCACATAGTCCTAATCCCAAGCAACAAGCAGAACAGGGATATGAAAAGGATGGTGCTTAAAAGGTAGGATGAACATGAATAATCAATTTTCAGGGAGTGCAAAATGATGTGATCACCTTCAGATTTTCCCCATCTGTTGCTAAGCAGCATTCTTTAGTCACAAGCTTTGACTTACAAAATGAACAGCAGCCTCCGCATATTTTGCTATTTTTACATTTTAAACTGTTCTTTTGCCAAACTTTCATTATAACTATATTTAAAAATGCTCTAGAACAAAATAAGATGGGCACTGAGATATCTGCATCCCTTGGGTCATGCTCTCAGTTAGTACTTGGGACAAGTAGCCCATGGACTGTCCAGTCTCCAATAAGGAATTAGAAGAGCCTCCATCTCCCACGTAACAAAGTAAATGCTTTTTTTGCCTCACAGGCCTGAGCTTTACATGAGATATTGAACTTGCATCATGTAAAAGGCAAGAGTATCATACATTTGGATTTGTATATTCATCACCAGTTTCAATCCACATAAACAAACCACAGAATTTCTCCCGTGGTGGTGGTGAATTAATTGTATTAATTCTTTCAATCTGTACTAAGGATGTTGTTCCAATGATCAAACATCCATTCAATGCCCTGGGCATTCTGACAAAAATTAAAATTAAATCAACTACCTCTCTGTGTGAGAAATTATCTCTCTCATTTAATTAGAAGTAAAGGGCTGGCTGCCAATTTTCCAAAACTAAACACCAAACATCCCCACTGCAAACACCCTCTCCTCAGATGCCTTGATGTACAACCAGAAATTTCAAAAATTGAAATTTCTCACTCTTGAAGACCAAAAGAAGGAATTGACAAAGAGTTCAGGATCTTCCCACAAACTGTGGGCTACTAATAACCCACACTTAATTCCCATGTGTCTGCAACTTAACATATTACACTGGTAACTCAGTGAAGCAAAATGACTAATCATTTTAAATTGCGAATTGACCATCACCTCTATCTTCTTCAATATTAATTAAATAAACAAATCATAAAGTAAAATAGAATAACATTGCCAACCCTGTGGAGTGTGTGGCCTGGAGCTAAAGATGCCTTGCAAGGAGAGAAAAGATGTAGTCAATCGTTACAGCAGGTCTCTTCCTGCATTTCTACAGAAAAGGCAGAAGGTTTTGAAAGGTCTGGTAAATTGGCACCAAGGTGATAAATTGCATTCTTTTCCTGCTAGTGTCTCTACTGATTGCAGTGAATAAGATTACAGCTGTCATCGTGAGAGCTGCTTTTTTTTGGTTTTCTCCTTCCCACTGGCAAGAGACTGACTAGAGATTCTTGAGTCCTCTGCCCAACCAGAGAATGTCTCTTCAGCTCTCTAGAAAAACATTGCCCAAAAGGATATCCCAGAAGCTCCCTAAGTCCCCTTGGCTAATGGAAGCAGCCTTTAGAGCCACACCACTAACAACTGCTCCTCATACAGCCACTGCCCCAAATCCGCACACATTAGTCTATGTCTTTTCATGTCCTTCCAGATGCCTCAGCACTCACAGAAGCAACAATTCTCCCTGGCCCCATCATCTAGCTACTCCCCAAAATTTGAGCAGCTGCATTGTTCTGCCACTGTTTAGGCCACCACTGTTTTGGCCTATTGAAGAAGATTTTTGTTTCATATAAATTAATATATGGTGCAAAAAAAGCTTTAACAACCTGGGCATTTATATTCAGCTACTGCCTGGGAATAGCTGTGGATGTACACCTTATATCTACATAAAGATATGAGAGATGTTCCAAGCCATTTTTTTTGCAGTACAAAAGTCAACCTTGCCTTTTTCTCCCTTTTTTGTATACTTGGAGGAAAGAGAAACAAAGATTGTTGGGTTTTTTTGTTTTTTTTTTAATCTTTGTACACCTCTTTCTTCCCCCATCAGCTGCTGAGTAAAAGGCCAGGAAGCAGGCAACAAACCCCGCAGCCTATGGGTAGGTAGACTCCTGCTGCCAACTCAATCTCATCCCTGCAAGCCTCCAGTTTCTGCAAAACTGCAGGAGTACGGCTGAGACCTGAAAGAACAGCAGTCTCTGGCATGCTTCCTGTTGCTTAGGCAAGATGAGGAGAGAAGAGGCATGAGGAGGCAGCAGAGGTGGAATACACACATGTTCAAAGGTGGGGCTGCATCTACACAAGAGGAAAAACAGGCAGAAAAGTCTAATGCTGGGAAACGGGGCTGATACAGGGGATACAGGTACCCCACAGGAAGAAATAATGAAAGAAAAAAAAAGGAAAGCTATTAGGAAGATTAGAGAAAATAAAAGGATGGAAATATGTGATTGGGATAAACTGTATATCCAGACTATGTGTAGAGCTGGCAGACTGTAACGAACCTTTTTTGAGCCATACTTGACTCTTGTTTTTTGATTTTTAGGAGATAACGTAACATTTATACAGCAAGTCAAAAACTCAGTTAAAAAAATATAAGAACTAACTGTGCATGATAATATAGGTACACTATACATACAACTTCTGTCCTGTTCCAGTACTAGAAAAACAGAAAAAACTAGCTATAGATATGTTTAGGCAATCTGGTTATAATCAATGACTGTGACTGTTTTTAAACAAAGCACTATTATAGTGACATGTGCATTACTATCATTGTTGAAGCCAGGTCAAGTGCAGACCTCAGTATTTTTCATAGGTTAAGAAAAGGTTCAAGAACAGTATTCCAGTTGTGTTTGTTTCAGAAGATTATAAATTTTTCAGTTTTTCAGAAGCAAAGGTATTTAATGAAGGTTCACCTTTAATGTTTGCTGGTTGATTTGTTTGCTCTTTAATTTGGAATAAATTAAGATATAGGTTCTAAGCTTTTAGTATTACCATCATTAACATTCAACCATCAA